TCAGAGAAGTTTGCAATAATTTCCTAAATAAGAGTCTAAGGGCCGCTGTTTTCCATTTCGGTTTAAAATGCATTACTATCCCATCATGCTTTCTCGAATAACTGCTGTTTACGTTGCAGAGACAGTGTGTTCTGACTGACATTCTCGTTTCATCAAAACATACATACTTACATACCTTCATACACACATATATATGCACACTAAATGTTTTATTATAAGTCATGAATGCTTGTGCTATACCATCGAGAGTACAGATGTAAATAAGTGGTAGTAGATTTTAGGATTTCCAGGAGGTGAAAATGCTGAGATGTGAAAATTAAATGTGAAAATTCAAAAAAAATTGTGCAATCTCAAGAATTTTCAAAGAAATGCTGTACTAATCAAATATTAAACTATTCGATCACCTTGGAACAGGTATATGAAGAGGAGCGCGAACACCTGCATGGTAGACGAGTGAAGTGGTACTGACCCCGATCTCCTGCGCGGACAATGCGGATCGAATCAATAGCCAGAAGAGAACTGTAGAAGGTGAGGAAGGACACACGATTAGAATGAGGGCCGAGTAAAAAGGCAACCTTGACAATGAGCCGGCGTTGATACCCTTCAAAATGCTGATCGACGTTTTTTAAAATGCTGATCAATAATCTGCGAAAACGCTAGAAATTGAATTATTACAGGCGCAATCAAGATATCGACACTATAAATAAAGTAGGATGAGATGTGCCTCACCTCTTTGCTCTTCTTTACTCTAATCACCGTTGCAACGAGTTGACTATCATTATACCGCATCCAATTACTACCAACTAATTTGTCTTCATATAGAATTCTAGAATTATAAGCTTCCTTCTCGACATCGAAGAACGTAATGTTATCCGGAAAATCCTGAAATGGTCGCATTTCTGTTTTCCACTGCATTGGTTAGTTAACTCCATAATCTGGCTTAACAACATTCTTGTAGCATCACTAAGGCTTATCTCGGCTATCTCACTAATAGTAATAACGCATAACTGATGCGCTCGTTATAGGACTGTGTCCCTTCAGGTCTTCATTTTTTAAAGCGGTTAAGCACTTAAGAAGTTTGCATGAAAGCACTTTCTTTTCTCTCATCTGTTAAATTTCAAGCAAATTTTGCAACTAAAGGGCGTGTTAGAAAGCGGTCCCGAATGCGCCTTGCACTTCGTACTCAACCATTCCATCTGCTTTCTACCACTTTCACAAGAATGGACCCCTATGTCTCTACACCTAAGTAATTAAAGCAATGGCTGGATGGGTAATAAGATTCTTTGTAATAAAATGCTGATTTCACTCGTGAGCTGCATAACTTCGGTGAACTGTGGTCATTTATAGAAGGGAAAAACACGAAACTGTTGGTGTTTGTAGCCATAAATTGTTAACCTCATATGTTGCTTATGTGATGTTATACTCCGCCAAAGTTGGCAACATTCATGAACTTCAGTAATTCGTCTACAGTATCTTTAAATCGAATATGATTCGGAAAAAATTCTTTATGTCTTTTACTTTTGCAGCATTTACAGGATTGGTCAAGATATTATTTGATCACCCCAGTGACGTTTTTTTAACTTTGTGACAGTTCTGTTCTCTTCACCTTAACCAACAAGACCACTTAAAAAGAAGTTGTAGGATTATCATCAGCTCTTTTCGGCTTTCGAAAAACTTTTGAACAGGT